TTCATGCAGCCCACACCGATCTAAGGGCAGCTCGTGGTCAAATCTATCGGTTGGAGAGCGATGCTATAGCTCAGAAGAACTTCAACGAAGCACTGCTGGCAAAGAATGAAGAGTTAACGCATGAGARGGACGGGCTGAGGAGCGAGGTGATTGTCCTTAAGGTAGACTAGGAGGCCTTAGAGCTCAAGGTGAAAGGTCTTAACGAGGATAAAGGAGTCTTGAAGCATGAGGTGGAGTTTCTCAAGGCTGATATTGAGGAAAAAACTGAGATCTTCAACCAGGCCATAGAGGAGACYAAGGTTCAGGCTGCCATAGACTATGTCAAATCGGACAAGTTTGATGCCGTGTTGACGGAGGCCTATTGTAAGGGCTTCAAACTTAGTAGGTGGTTGATAAGGCACACATACCCCGAGCTCGACATGAGTGCCATCACCACCTCGCGGATCACGGACGACATAGCCCGCCAGGCCACAGAGGACCCAGATTCTAAAGAGGAGAGTGGCGACGAAGAGGTAGATGCCACCGACCTGGCTGAAGCTCCTAAGGAGGTCGCAAGTAGAAATGACGAGTCCCCCAAATAGTTTGTGTGGTCCTTGTACTTTGAGCCTGCAAGCTTAGTTTTAACTTCTTTTTTGTATTGGGCCTGCGAGCTCAATTTTCTTCTCTTTAGTACTGAACACATTTTGTAATGATTTCTGTAATGAATTATTTTGCAATGAAAAATACTTTTTTGCTAAGTGTTTGTGCAATTAATCTTTTCYAGAATAATTGTCTTACCCCRAGCTGCTAAGCTAGTTAAATTCTCAAAGTGGGTGTTCCTTAACTGTTGTCACCCCAAACTGTCTCCCAATACGTAGTAGGGTTGATGTTATAGGGTGCACCGAAGTGAGCGACATGGTAGAGTATTTGCCTGATCTATCTACTCGGTCACTTGAATTGATAGTTGTCCCTGGCGGGTCCAACCTNTGGTGTGCTTTCAGTCTGCGGAGAATGGCTCTGTTCATGACTTTCGCTTGGCCGTTTGCTTGGGGATGTGCTACCGAGGTGAAGTTTTGTTGTATCCCCATGTCTTTGCACCAATTTTGGAATTTGATGTCCTCGAACTACTTACCATTGCCGGAGATCAGTACTCGGGGTAGTCCGAAACGGCATACTATACTCTTCTAGAAGAAGTTTTGCACATTCCGAGCTATAATCGTCGCAAGAGGTTCAGCCTCAACCCACTTAGTAAAATTGTCAAGTGCCACCACTAAGAACCTCCTCTGTCCTGCTGCTGGCGGGAATGGTCCGAGTATGTCAATCCCCCACTGTGCGAAGGGCCACGAGCTCGTAAGATATTTTAGATTAGCGGTAGGTTGGTGGTGGATGTTGGCGTGCTTCT